GAAAAACACAGGTGGGGGCTGACCTTGGTGTGCACACCCAGTGGACAGCTACAGACCACGGCAGAGCCCCACCACCCTGCCCCTGCACAGCTGATCCTCCATGGAGGGCGGAGATTGGTGGTGAGTGATCACAGTTAGTCCTTGCAGCTGACTGGCCTGGGTAAATCCTCCCATTGACCTTCCAACAGCAACCAAGGCTCAACTACAAGAGGAGGGTGTACTCAGCCCACACAAATGGTGCATCCCAAGTACCCAGCTTGGGTGACAGGGAAGCTGTGCCTGGACCCTACAGGGACACCTACTACGTTAGGCCACATGACCAAGATACGGAGTCAGAGCAGCTCTACCTAATGCATAGAAGCAAACACAGGGAGGCAGCCAAAACAAGGGAACAAAGAAACACGGCTCAAATGAAAGAACAGATCCAAACTCCAGAAAAAGAGCTAAACAAAATGGAGGTAAGCAATCCATCAGATGCAGAGTTCAAATCACTGGTTAGAAGGATGCTTGGTGAACTCAGTGAGGACCTCGGCAGCATAAAAAATACCCAGTCAGAAACGAAGGGTACCCTAATTGAAATAAAGAACAATTGACAGGGAAACAACAGTAGAGTGGATGAAGCTGAGAATCAAATCCATGATTTGGAACATAAGCAAGCAAAAAACAACCATGCAGAGCAACGAAAAGAAAAAAAAATTTTTTTATTTTAATGAGGATAGTATAAACAGCCTCTGGGACAGCTTTAAGGGGTCCAACATTTGCCTCATAGGGATGCCAGAAGGAGAAGAGAAAGAGCAAGAAATTGGAAATCTGTTTGGAAAAATAATGAAAGAAAACTTCTCTAATTTGGTGAAGCAAATAGACATGCAAGTCCAGGAAGCACAGAGAGTCCCAGTTATGATGGATGCAAAGAGGCCCACTCCATGACACGTCAGTATTAAAAGGCCAAAGGTTAAAGATAGAGAATCTTAAAAAAAGAGAGAGGTCACTTCTGCCAAGATGGAGGCGTAGGTGGAAACACCTTCCATCTGCGCACAACCAAATCTAAAAACAAAGTTTTAACAACAATAAACGCAACCAAACCACACAGAAAATCTACAATATGGAGTCCGAAAACGAAATGCTCAGCTAAACCGGTAAGAGGGGTGAAGCCAGCAGCGGAGCGGGTTGGCCAAAAAGATCCCCCACCGGGTGGTGCGCAAGCTGCTGAAGGCGCGGATCCCAGGTGCCGGCTAGCTACAGGCAGACACAGGGAAGAGGCGCAGCTGGCTGTCTGTAGTCGGTCGAGCATTTGCGTGCAGATAAACCAGTGAAGAGGCGAGCATTGAGACCGCCACAAGGCTCAGGGCGGCGGGCTCGCACATTTCCGAGGCCGGGGCAAGTGGTAGGTTGAACTGGGCGAGCCGAGAGGAGAGGACCGCCATTGCTTCCTCTCTGACCCCGCCCCCACATACAGCCTCACGAACCAGAGACCTGGGTGGCCCTGCCCTGGTAAACAAGTAAGGCTCCGCTCCTCATACTTAACAGGCGCGAACAGACAAAAAAATGGCTCAAGAACAACTCAGGGCCCCAGAGCCGATAAATCTAAGTGATAAAGAAATAGCCAAACTTTCAGATGCACAGTTCAAAACACTGGTGATCAGAATCCTCACAGAACTGGTTGATTTTAGTCACAAATTAGAGAAACATATGAAAGATAACTAATTGAAATGAATGGAAATGCATGGGAAACCAACAGTAATGGAAAGGAGACTGGGACTCAAATCAAGGGAGTGGACCAGAAGGAAGGAAAAAATGACCAAACAGAAAAGAATGAAGAAACAAGAATTCAAAAAAATGAGGAGAGGCTGAGGAACCTCCAGGACATCTTTAAACGTTCCAACATTCGAATTATAGGGGTACCAGAAGGGGAAGAGGAACAGTCACGAGTGGAAAACTTATTTGAACAAATAATAAAAGAGAACTTCCCCATTCTGGCAAAGGCAATAGACTTCCAGGAAATCCAGGAAGCTCAGAGAGTCCCAAAGAAGTTGGACCCAAGAAGGAACACACCAAGGCACATCATCATTACATTAGCCAAGATTAAAATGAAGGAGAGAATCCTAGAAGCAGCAAGAGATAAGTGGACAGTCACCTACAAAGGAGTTCCCATCAGACTGTCAGTGGATTTCTCAAAAGAGACCTTACAGGCAAGAAGGGGCTGGAAAGAGGTATTCCAAGTCATGAAAACCAAAGACCTACAACCAAGATTGCTCTATCCAGCAAAGTTTTCATTTAGAATGGAAGGACAGATAAAGTGCTTCTCAGAGAAGACCAAATTCAAGGAGTTCATCATCACCAAGCCCTTATTATATGAAATGTTAAAGGGACTTACCTAGGAAAAAGAAGATAAAAAAGATGAACAGTGAAAGGACAGCACACTCACAGTTATCAACAACCACACCTAAAACAAAAGCAAATTAAGAGGACAGCTAGATCAGGAGTGAACCATAGAAATGAAGATCACGTGGAGGATTAGCAACAGGGGAATGGGAGAAGGAGAAGGGGGGAGAAGGTACAGAAAATAAGTAGCATAGACAGCAGATAGAAAATAGATAGGGGGGAGGGTAAGAATAGTAGGGGAAATACAGAATCTAAAGAACTTGAGACACATGTTCATGAACTAAAGGGGGGATGGTGGGGAAGGGGTGTACAGGGTGGAGGGGAACAGAGGGGGGAAATAGAACAAATGTAATGGCATAATCAATAAAAAAATGTTTAAAAAAAAAAAGAAGTCAGTTACCAGAAAGTTGCCACATGGAAAATGGGAGGGGGAGAATAGGTGGAGAGGTGAGGGAATTGAGAAGTACCCATAGGTAGTTACAGAATAGCCATGGGGATGTAAAGTACAGTACGGGAAATGGAGAAGCCAAAGAACTTGTACTCATGACCCATGGACATGAACAGTAGTGGGGGGATTGCCTGAGGGAGTGGGGAGCACTGGGTGGGGGGGCAAAGGGGGGAAAATCAGGATAACTGTAATTGCATAATCAAAATATAATTTAAAAAATAAAATGGGGGTAATAATCTCTCAGGGTTGTAGTGAGGATTAGATCATTTATGTAAAAAAAGTTGGGGCACAGATAATTCACAGTGTCTGACCTGAAGAATTGTTGGTTCCAGTCTTCCTTTCTGCTCTGCCTGCCATCCCCCAAAAGCTGCACATGGGTGCACACAGCTGCACACAGCTGCTGTGACGAAGCCCCTCGATACATGATAGATGATTGAGTGAAGGAACGGTGGGAGAAAGGAGGCAGGAAGGCGGAGAGGCCCTGGGACAGAGGGGGCATAAGGAGGCAGGGTGGGAGGGCGTAGGAGGGAGGAACGCTGGTCAGTGAGGTTCCTCAGAGCCCCCCGGGGGGTTCCAAGGGACCCAGGACTCCAGGTGCAGGGCTCTCCCCCAACGTCCCTGCACCCTTCCTCGCCCCACCCCACCCCACCGCCTCTGTCAAAGGACTGCAGACTTCACCGAACTTGCCAAGGGGTCGTGGAGGTCTCCAGGGAGAGCCAGGGCCACCTCACCCACAGGGCAGGAAAGTGCTTGGAGTTCCCAGATGCCTCTGCGACTGCCGGGACGCACGTGTCTCCTCCGTAGTGGCCTCACTACACCCCAGAAGGGACTGGGCTTGAGTGAATGGGTGCTGGGAAGTTTTGTGGAAATGATCAATAACCATGTTGTTCTCTGTCTCTCTCGCAAATCAATCAGACCCTTTTCTAAAAGGCAGAGAGCCGTAGGCCAGGAAGGCTGGATACCCCTGGGAAGAGCAAGTAAGCAGAAGTTCTATTTCCAATGCCCTCCATGGGGTCAAGGGTTGGGGGCTGAGGCAGCCAGGGTTCAGGCCTGGTGGGCACATTGAGGCCTCTACTCCTGAAGGCTTTAACCCCTGAAAATAAAAATCTGAGGGGTCTCTCCCGCTCAGCCAGGCCCTGGAGGTGGGGGGTGGGGGAAGTGCACAGCAGCAGGCCCCCGCTCTCCTTCCCTGAGACTCAGACACAGCCCAAGGAGCTGCTGGCACCTGTTCACCCAGCTGACTTTTGACGGCTGGGCTCAGCCAAGGAAATACCAGAGAACACAGGTCCCTTCCTTCCTGGAACTGACTTCAGGGGCAGTGAGAGGCAAGCAGACAGATCACATGAACATCCTCGGCCACTCAGAAACATGACTACAACTGTTGAAAAGTAAACTGAGGCCTATTACAATTTTTAAGAGTTTATTTGAGCAAAAATAGATTGCAATTGGGCAACACCAAGCTGGAAGTGGTGCGGAGTGCTCCCCCTACAGGAGGCGGGGGGCGAGGGGACAGACACAGACAAGTGTGGAAGCGAAGAAGGATGTTCTTGACTGGCTGTAGCTTACAGCCTAGTTAGCTGTTGTGATCGGTGGTCCTTAGCAATTTGATTCCCTGGATTGGAGGCATTTACAGGCTTAGGTTGAGGTTTGCTTATGTAGGCCACGAAAACATTACAGCCGCCTCCGTCTAGGGGCCTCCCTTTCTCACTCACTCAACACAGCCTCCTCCGGCAGCCGTGTCCAGAGCTTTTACGATCACCGCGCCTCCTTCCGCACCCGCCACAGCCCGGAGGGGGGGTGGATCCTTGGCTCACAGCTGGCAGCGGGGCACGACCCCTGTCCCACTCACACTCTGGGTGTTTGTCCCTAGAACATCTTCTTGAGCTCTCCTTGCGGGGGGTGGGGAGCACTTTGGGACGAAGCCAGTGGCCCCTCACCCAGGCAGGGACCCTGTAGCCACATCTGGGCACAGGGACTGCCCCAGCTTCTGTCTCTGACGGGAGGAAGATTGGGCTTGGGAGTCACCACGGGCAGCTCAGCGTGTGTGAAATACCACCCTACAGAGACCGGACCCAAGAGAGAGGAGAGAGGAAGTAAGAAGCAGGGACACAGGACACGGGACTCAGGGGAGGGCCCCCAGCGACTGCCCTGCTTTGCGTGTCTCCTCCCAGCTGATGACCACAGCCGCCCAGTGGGTGAGGATTTCAAATGTGAGGACTGGAAAGAGCGACCGCGGCTGTCACCACCACGCACGGGCCTCGGGGGTAAGAAGTGTGTCCCGGGCTGAGGGTGAGGGGAGGCAGCAGCAGAGCCAGACTGAGGTCCATTCCCCTGACATGGGGTCTGGAGGGCTCCTGGGGTGACATTTTGGTGAATAAAGGCATGCCTTCCATGTCGTTCCCGTGAAACGCCCTGCTGCTCTCTGAACGTGGAGCCAGACTCGGCCGAACTTTGTCCTTCGGGCAACGGCTTGGTCCACAGGCCCCATCCAGGTACATGAAGGGGAGGAGGTGAGAGCCCGTGCTCTACAGGGGGAGCCCTCATGCACTGCTAGAGATCCGCCAGAGCCCGGGGGGACCCTGATGCCCCCTGATGCCCCCAGCTCACCATGCCAGCAGCCACAGGTCAGGACATAAAGGTGTGGCAGAAATTGTTTCAGGAATTAATTCAGGAGGTGAAGCCGAGGCACCAGTGGACGCTGACGCTCGACAAAGGCCTCGTTCCCAACACCCTGCAGCCAGGGTGGACACAGTACCAGCAGTGGGCCTTTGCCAGGTGAGTGGGGGATGGATGGTACATGTTCCAGAAAATTCTCCTTGATTTCTTGCTGTGTACACTGCTTATTTTTCTTATTCCATTCCTGCTTACTTGCAAACTGAAGAGTACAGGAGGGAAGGTGCCCATCACCCAAGAAGTTTTAGCATCGTTAGAGATTGTTTTCTTATTGCAGGAACCCCAAAACAATAGCAGGACTGGGCACTGGTATGGACGAATGCCTTAGACACAGAGAAATCAGCTGCGAGGGGTGAGGGCAAAGAGCAGAGAGGCCCAGGAGACCTGGAAGAGGAGGGCTTGGTGCATATGCGCCCTGCGTCTGGAGACCTGGGCCCACCTCGGGGCCCATGAGGCGCGGCCTCTTGCACTGAGGAGACCCGAGAGGGAGGAGGGGGGGAGGCAGACAGGAGGAGCTGAGCCACTCGCAAACATCTTGATCCTCTCTGCTCTGAGCTAACGGAATTGTTAAAAAAATAGGACCCTTAGAAGATATCCCAAGTCTCAGCCTCTCTTTCCCAGGTGGTAAGTCAGAATGGGGGTCACCCACCTACACCGAGGATGGGGGCACAGGACTGAGACGGGGCTTGTTGCCTGCCCACCGTCCCCTTCCTGGAAGTGGGTCTGAAAAGAGGAAACAGCTCTTCTCTCCTCATAACCCGTGGTTTTCCCGGGCCAGCTGCTGGCATCAGAAGCAGCTGAGCAAAGTCTCGGTTCTCGTTTTGTTTGTTCTGTTCTGTTTTTTGAAAACTTTGAACTCTGAGCTTACACACCAGCACAGCAGCACAGACCAGAGGGGGGAAGGGGGCTGCAGCCCAGAAGAACAGGGCCCAGGTCCCTTTGCCCCAGCAAGGTCCTCTGGCCCACAGGGGTCAGAGCTGCTGGGCGTCTTCCCTTCATTTCATCCTCGCATTCATCCCAGGAGGTGAGACTAGAATCAAGATACAGAAGGGAGCCACGACCAGCACGGCTCAGTGGGTTGGGCGTCATCCCCAAAACCAAAAGGTCGATGGTTTGATTCCCAGTCAGGGCACATGCCTGGGTTATGGGCCAGGTCCCCAGTTGGGAGTGTGCCAGAGGCAACCGATCAATGTTTCCCTGTCTTTCTTCCACCCTTCCCCTCTCTCTAAAAGTAAATAAATATTTTTTAAAGTACAGAAGGTAAACCTTGACCGAGTCTTACCCAGCCCCCTCTGATTCACTCTCCCAGGCTCCAGGGGCCCCTGCATCGAGCCAGCCCAAGGTTAGGCTTGGCCGCTGTGACCAATAAGCCCTGCGGTACCAGTGCTTTAACCTGACACATGACCCCAGGTTCACCGAGGTGCAGGACGGGAGAGCCGGGAGGCCTTTCAAGGGTTTCAGTGCCAGATCTGGGAGCGGCATCTAACACTTTGGCCCACATCCCATCAGCCACATGCTCACGTTGCCCCAATCCCACGGCCAGGGGACTGGGAACAGGGAGGGAGGGCGAGGATAACACGGGGAGCACTAAAGCCCCCGCCACACAGCAGCCCCCCGCTGTCCCATGATTCCTGTCCTCTTTCCTCCCTCCATCTGTCCTCACAGGTATTTGTCCAGCTGCCTTCACTCAGAAAGTTGCCCTTCTCCCTGTTGTGATGAAGGGTCATTCTTTTGTACCTATCTGAGGCCAGGGCATGAGGAATATGCAGTGTTTCAGGCCACTTTGACCAACAAATTGGGTTGGAGGGGGCAAAAGAGAGCGAGCTGGACACGGTGCCCGCCCGGTAGTACTGGCGGTTTGGGGCAGAGAGCAAAGCAACGCCCAACCCTAGGACACTGGAGCTTTGAGGGTCCGTCCCTGCCCCCGGAGGCCTGTGAGTTACTGTCTTAGTCTTTTTGAAGCAGCTATGAAAATGTAAAAATAAATTAATAAGTAAAAATTTAAAAACATGGGCCTGGCAGCTTATAAACAACAGAAGTGTCTTTCTTGCTCGGAGTTCTGGAGGCCGGGAGGCCAACATCAGGGCACCGGCTGGTCAGGGGAGGGCCATCTTCTGGGTTGCATGCCGACTTCTCGTTGTGTCCTCACATGGCAGAAAGATCTGGGGAGTTCGCTGGAGTCTCGTTTATAAGGGCGCTGATGCCATTCGTGGGGGCTCCACCCTAATGACCTCATCACCTCCCAAAGGCCCCACCCACCTCCTCACACCGTCCCCTTGGGTGTTAGGATTCCAACTTGTGACTTCAAGGGGAAACATGCATTCAGCCTGTAGCACTTACCACCACCCATGATGGTCCGTGTGCAGATCCCATGCAGGCTTCCTGGGGGCTGACTGCGCAGCTCCTGGTGCACTTGCAGCTTCTGACGCACTTCAGGCTGCATTTGAAGAAGCCTGGCTTTGGAGCCAGGACATGGGGTTCTTGTCCCGCTGAGTCTCTGGGCCTGACAAGTTCCAGTATGTGCCTCACGTCTAAATTGATCCCATTGGACTTCGGAGGTGCCCAAGATCCCTTTCAGCCCTGACAGCTTGTGACCTGCTATCTTCACAACAGACACCTGTGTGTCACGGAGCACGTTGGTGGCACAGTGGAGAGAGTAACATGTGACTCGGTAGTTCCTTCCCCCTCTTATCCACGACCCTAGTCCAGCCACATCTCTGTGATTTGGGGGCCCTCTTCTTTCCTCTGGTACCGCCCACAGTTTAGCCACACTGAGCCAAGCTGAGGGTCTTGTTTTCTGTCTCCACAGGTTCAAGTGCTCCTTGTGCTTTCGCAGCTGGGCCTCTGCCCAGGTGTGTGTGCTTTCCCACATGCACTGGAGCAAGATAGAATCCAGGGGCCAGGTGAAGATGAGGATCTTCACCCAGAGATGTAAGAAGTGCTCTCAGCCTCCATTTGAGGTTCCTGAGTTCACTGAAGAGAACATGTCGAGGATCCTGAACAACCTGGTGCTCCGAATTCTCAAGAACTGTTACAGAGAAGGATCCAAGTCAGTGGAGATCCCTACAATCAAGGACACCACTCTGCAAGGGCCGCACGACATGAACAACTGTGAGGCGTGTCTGCAGGGCTCATGTGCTCAGAGCAGGTTAGGTCTGGCCAAACAGTCCCCCGTGTCCCCGTCACTTCCCTCAATAAGCTCACCTAGTGGCGGGATACCCGCCTACCAGCCTTCTCCCGCAAGGAGCAGCTCCACAGGGGACGGAGCAACCAGGGGCTCCAGGGTGAAGAGAGGAACAGGGTCTCCCAGCCCCTGGTTTCCTGAGCCCCCACTGGCCAGGACCCCCAGAGCGAACACCACCTACAGAACAGAGAGTGTAATCCACGTGCCCTCAATTCAGAATTCATATCCCCACGTGGTCCGGAATCGCACGCCCTGGTATGCAAGTTCTGGTTGCAAGATTTCAAGTGTTTGCTGCTGTAATTCAATCTTTTGTTGCTGTTTAATCATTCTAATCTTAGCTGTGGTCCTGTGGTGGTCATTTTCTTAAAAACCACTATACGAACTTCAAAGACGTTGTGCCAAGTTTAAAAAGTCAGACGCACAAGGACACATATTGTATGACCCCATCGATGCGAAATGTTTGCAACAGGTAAATCCGGAGACGGGAAGTAGACCGGTGGCTACCAGCGGCTGGAGGAGCGGGAGGCAGAAGCCACTGCTTCATGTGCCCGGGGTTTTTTTTTTTTGGGGGGGGGCAATGGCAAAAATGTCTGGGAACGAGAAAGAGTGGGCAGCTGTACAACATGTGAAGGCACGAAATGCCACTGCACTGTCCACTCTAAAATGATTAATTTAATGTGAATTTTAAGGGTTAATTTAATGTGAATTTCGCCTCTTTAAAAAAAGTGCTGAAATGTCATTCATTCTCTGGAGGACGGAGAACTGGGTTTCTACGTTCACAGAAGCATTAGGAAATCTCACAGGAAACCTGGGGACCTTCTCACCGGCCCTCGGCCGTGGGGCCTTTCCGGGCAGGACCTCGGGCTGGGTTCTGAGCAGTTCCCTCCACAGCGGGGTGCGCGCAGCTGGGGCTGACGCAGGACCAGTCGTGCGTTGGTGGAGAAAGCCTTAAAACCCCATCTAACTCTCCCTTATACTTTGCTGTTTCTTGCCGCATATTTTATAATGTATGCGGATACATTAGTCGGACAGTATTATACCGTATAAAGAAACAAACCCACACACATTTGGAGTGTGTGCTCGGTCGTCACTGACAGGCCGCACAATTAAAAGCCCGGGGACCCCAGGTCTGCAGGGCCGAGGGCAGGCCTCTGTGCCTGGATTCTCGCCAGGTTTCCGGAGCCAAGTGGCTTTTGTAAAAGATTTCTGTTTGGATTCATGGGGATAATTTTCGGACTCATTCTCACATCTTTTTTACCTGGAAATATGACACCTTCAGTTTAGGTCACTAAAATTAAAGCAATGGTCGTTCACTGCAAATACTTCTTTTCTCTCCCCCCCCCCCCACCCCTTCAACTCCAGTAACTCCCACACACACAGTGTGGCCATACCCAGCCCCTGACTGCACCATGGCCGTGCCCTCTGGAACCATCTCTAGAACTTTTCATTTCTCACAACTGAAAGCTGGTACCCACTAGCCAACTCCCCTAATCCCTCCCCCCAGGACCTGCTGACCACCATTCTTCCTTGTCTCTAGACCTCCGACTACTTCAGATGCCTCATACACTTGAATTACTACACAGCACTAATCTCCCTGTGTCTGGCCAACTTCACCTAGCCTGATGTTCTCAAGGCTCATCCATGCTGTAGCAGGCATCAGAATTCCCTTCCTTTTTTAAGGGTGAATAATATTCCATCGTATGGATGTACCGCATGTTGCTTATCTGTTCATCCACCAGTTGATACTTGGGCTGCTTCCCCATCTCAGCTCGTGAGCGGTGCGGCTGTGAACACAGTGTAGGGACATGTCTTTGCGACCCTGCCTCCAACCTTGGGACACGCAGGGTGGAGCACGAGCAGGTTCACTGTTGTCCATGTGGAAAATAACACAATAACAAGTAAATAACCATACAAGATTAAACTCCGTGTTTCGCGTACTCACAACTGTCGACTCACTTTTGCCCAGCCTGTGCACTCAGCAGTGACAGTGCCGAATCCCATGGCAGCTGCATGTTTAGTTTTTTGAGGAACCACCACACTGTTTCCCACACCGGACGCAGCATTTTGCAATCCCACCGACAGGGCACAAGGGTTCCAATTCTCCACATCCTTGCCACACACTTATTTGCTGTTACTTTTTAATATATATAACAGCAATACCAGTGAGTGTGAGGTGATATCTCACGATCTTAAACTTGCATTTTTTTAAAATGTAATTTTTAAGGTGCAAGGTTACCCTCCAAAGCAAATACCAGAAATAGCACCTGTACATCTCAGCAGAGAGATAATTATTGGGAACCCGACAGGCCTGTGCAGGCAGTGTCTTCAGACCTGCTATGTGTCCTCAAACACTCGAGCACCGTCCACACACCCGCTCACTGCAGGCACTTCGACTGCAGTAGTGGGACTGGAGACACAAGCACGTGCCTGAGAAACCAGCACGTATGGAATTACATGTGTCCCAGCAGCCCGCAAACCACCGGACTCGGAGTGACCTGTGAGGCGGGAAGATGTGCTGGGTCGTTAATACATGCATCGCGCAAAATGTTCAGATCTCTATGTTTTCATTAAGATGCATATTCTACTTTAGAATCTGTATTTTTATTGATATGAATAAATTAAATAGTATCTCTACAAGCATTGTATTCAATGATGTATTCGTTTGGGGTGCTATGTAGTGTGAAATAATTATATATATATATATATATATATATATATATATATATATATATATCAATGTATATATATATCAATTATATATATCAATATAATATATATATATATATAAATGCAATATTTTCAATTCATTTTTTACAAGATTTTATTCATTTATTTTTAGAGAGCGAAAGGAAGAGAGGGAGAGAAACATCAGTGCGTGGTCGCCTCTTGCACGCCCCCTGCTGGGGAGCCTGGCCCGAAACTGAGGCACATGCCCTGACTGGGAATCGCACCAGTGAACCTTTGGTTCACAGGCCAGCACTCAATCCACTGAGCCACACCAGCCAGGGCTTATTTATTTATATGAACACCAAGACAAGATTTTTGCACAAAAGACTGGTTTTACTGAAGTGAAATTTACATAAGTTCTGGACAGTCAATTGGTACGAAAGCCCCCATTTCCCTCCCCCGGTTCAGACATATTTCCATTTGACTACAGATAGCATAAACTTGCCATGAAATAAAACACCAAAATCATTCAAGAGGTATAACTAATAAATTTGAATTACATTGTTAAGCAGTGAAAAAGAAAAATACAATTGTTAGAGGGTCAATTACAGTGGTTTCTCATTTTCCTATTCTTCTCATCTTAAACCTACTTTCCGAGTTTGTCTTTAAGACGAAGCAACCCCCGACAGTGGTTTCAGATTTCTCTGCCTGTTCTGCAGATGCTGAGGATAAAATATTTGGAATTACGATTAGGCCCCTCAAGACAAGACACTGGCGTGTCAGGAGTAACCCATGTTAAATGCATGCCTCAGGGACAGACGGATTCTTCAGATAAGAGAAAATAAAAGTCACCCTTCATTTTTAGCCCAGATTAACTTCCAAAGAACCACCTGGCTAGACCCAAGCTGTCCAATAGGGTAGCCCCCTCTGGCTATTTAAATTTAAATTAAATTAAATATTTAGCTTCGTTGGCACCAGTCGCTGTTCAAGTGCTCAAGGCGCGCCTGGCCTGGCGGTCCCGCCGTGGGACACACATTCACAGGTGTTGCCATCCCCACAGAAAGTTTCGTTGGACAGTACTGGGCAGACCACGGAGGAGTCGATTCGTGTGTAAACTGCTTGTTCAAGCTTATCTTCCACACCCAGTCCTGCTTAGTTGAGCCCAGACAGTGGTACAATGGTGGACAGGGTACGATCTCTCCAAACCACGTGACGTGATATGAGGGTCCAAAGTCCCATAAGGAACCCCATCTTTAACCATGCAAAACAGTCTGCCGAGCGCACTCTGGGCCACAGCATCTCGGCCGTGGGCAGCCTCTCCTTTGGCACCCTTGAGGAAGGCTTGCCAGGGACCCCTCACCAACTCGGATTAGTCCTGCCCGCCACACCGCATGGCCACCTTAGCAGGGGGTCCCTGAGAACACTGCCTCTGCTCCCCGCTCTCAGGTGGGTCCCAGGACCCCGAGGTGCCCACTCAGGGCAAGATGACCATCCTGCAGGCCACGCAAGGCTTTCGTGACCAGCCCGAACCCCCCACAAGGGCTGCTAGCACATCACCCGACCGTCCTGTGCCCGATGCAAAGGCAGACACCCTGCCCTTCTTCCTGCCTTCAAGGCCCAGTTCTACCCAAAGTCTCTCCTGAGAGCCCACACTTGCAAGACTTAATTTAAAACATATGGAAATAGCAGTTTGTATACACCTCAGGACAATTATTCTCAGTAAAAGAAATAATGCATTAAAACTCCTTTAAAAAAAACAGCCCTGGCTGGTGTGGCTCAATGGATTGAGCGCTGGCTGCGAGCCAGGGAGTTGCTGGTTCGATTCCCAGTCAGGACACATGCTTGGGTTGCAGGCCAGGTCCCCAATGGGGGCCACATGAGAGGCAACCACACTGATGTTTCCCTCTCTTTCTCCCTCCTTTCCCCTATCTCTAAAAATAAATAAATAAAATCTTTTAAAAAAACTCCTTAAAAAAAACAACAAATAAACTCTCATCTGACTAGTCCAATAGAAACACTCTTCACAAGCCCTTTATTCCTTGATTCCTAAAAACTGTGCAATCAACTCCAGAATTTGGTCTAAGTTATCATCTTAAAAAAATAATACATGTCCTAAAATATTAAATGTGCATCACTTGGAACCAAGTATACGCAAATGAACCTTTAAATATCAACATATAAACCCACCGATCAATTCCCCAGTCCACAGAGAGACGTATTCATCCATCTGAACTTGGAAAATCATTTTTCCAAACACTTGTGACCGCCGTTTCTGGCCCTCCTGCCTAAGTACAAGCCATTACCCCTCTGCGACCTGACCCACAACACAAAGAGGTACAGCCCCACGGACAGGGAGGTGCGCAGGCGTCCGAGGGCGGTGTCAGAGCTGAAGGCTGAAAGACACTTTGGTGGTATAGCTGGGAACCGATTCTGTAATGAAAGGAAAACATATACTCAACCGCTCTCCTTTCATCATGCACGATCTGAAGAATGAAGACGGATTTGCACCTTTTTCCTGTTTACACATCCTTGTGACGGGAGGCACTTGGGAAACAGCCGTCCGGAGGAACACTTCTGCCCGTTCCTGTGGCCGCCTTGCCCCCCTGCAGTACCAGCGCCCGGTGGAAAACCCCAACTAAAGGGGTCGACTGCCGAACCTGCCGCCTCGTGTCTGTGCTCTCGTGGTGTTGACATAGGTGCACCCTCATTTATATGAGATGAGTTTCTCGGACATGGAATTTAAATGCATTTTGAAATGGAATTTTATTGTCCCATTAACTAGGATACTCTTTTGTCAATGTCATTTAGTTTAAAACTCATGTATAATTAGTAATGCGACCCTTCCATTGTAAGTATGTGTTTCTCTGTCAAATAGTTGACAGCATAGCAAGCATTCGAGCGCATGAGGCAAATGGAAAATCTTAAGGAAAAGGATCTCTCTTTCTTGGTAAATGGAAAAATAACTTACAAAGTAAACTGCCCCTCCCCAGTAAACTTTTTGTCAATTTGCCTTATAGCAATACATGTGTTGCCTGAGTTCATGGCATTCTGTATGTTCATCTGAAATATTTTAAATATGAGTAACCTACCTCTTTCTCTAAGATCTTCAATATAGGCTTTCATAAATTCTTTATCGAAGTGTTGACGATCTTGTTCACTTTCCACCATTTCGTCACCATCTTGACACTGGGTCTTATCAATAGGATTGTCCATAAGGTTTACAAATCTATTCGAGAAAAGATGGACAATGTCACACTTTTTAACTGCAAAAATCCCTCCCATTGGAAGTTGACCTTTGTGGTCCTAAATCCTAAATTCCTACTTATTCTTGAAAGTCACAGTTGACCACATACGGTCAGCATCACCAGTGGAGTTCCACTGCGGGACAGTCCATCGAGATGATAAAATAGGTCTGAAGGCAGACGCTGTTCAGAGGCCTGACGGGAGAAAGGAGAGCTACTCGGCCCCAGACAGAGGGCAATGGGCGGAGGCCGAGAGGCGGGCAATGACGCTTTCTCTCAGTCAGGTCTGGAAAACAGGATGTCTCACTATGCTAGATATAACTCCCAATTAGTGACACCAGTGCTGAAACGGGGTGGCTTAATGAAGAAGGACTCAGGTAAAACCCACACAAAAGAGGAGGAGCAGTAGGAGGAGGAGGAGGAGGAGGAAAGGGGGAAGAGGAAGAAGGAGAAAAGTAGCTAAAGGAGAAAAACTAAAATGGCATTTGGTTTTCCGTCTTCACAATTTTAAAAGATGTTACGAAGTAAAGATGACGTAATTAATTCAATTCAAAATAGGAAATTCCTCAAATAGCCTTCAGTTGCAATGGTAGTAGGTCCCTGTTGTCTTGGGTATTAGCCTCACTCTAACTGGTTTTAGAAGGTTATATATATATACATACATACATACATACATATATATATAAAATACCTTCCATATGCATATATATGGCATATCCACACACATCTGTCAGATTTTTAGCATATATACTTCCCAGTTCATTTTTTCTTTTTAATTTTATTTAATGTCTAAATATGGAGAAAGCAACAAGTTTTCATTCTCATGCAGAAAGAGCGCTTCGACTTTCCTTTGCAATCTCTTCCACTGAATTGTCATTGTCCTTCCCGGCCCCCCCAAAAGAAGTCTGCCTACATCTGCCCATCCTTCAATTTTTTATTAAAGGAATCTCTGTACACACGTATGTCTTTTCATCCGAACTGTGCAAGGGCACTTTTTATGTAAAGCGTCCGTCTCTCTCCCCGCCCGTGGTGACTCACAGTCACTATTTCAGCTCATTCCACAGCAGTATCTTTCACCGCAGGACAGAAAGTTTCGTGTCGTTCAGTCAAGTGGAGGTGCCCCCTCCCTCCTCTTCAGTCCCCCAGCCTCCCACCTCCCAATTTTCGTCATCTATACCTTCACTTTTGCAAAATTTTATTATGATAGTTTTCGGACATTCAGAAAAGTTGAAAATTCTATCGCTCTTGTTTTTCAAGATTATCACTACTGTTTTTAGCTTTTTTACCTGTCACATAGACTTTCAAATTCCATTTTCAAGTTCCATAAAAGAAATCACAGTAAAGTAATGATTAGAATCATATTCTACTTGAGCATAATTTGGGGAAGAAATCACATCTTTAGAGTCTTTTTGTCCGGAAAGACAGTATGTCTCTCCAAATATTCAAGATCTCTCTGATATTCTTTGGGGACACTTCCTAGTTCCCTTCACATAAGAGACCTTTTTCCTCCTAGGGTTTTGCCTAGATATTTTATATTTTGGGATCATTGCTATGAATGCCATCATTCTTCCACTCTTTTTCTACAGATTGTTTCTAAGAGATCAGTAAGCTAGTGACTTTTTTAAGACTTATGTCTAGTCTTTTTATTGAACTGTTTATTAATGCAAAGGGCTTTCCTCTGGTTCTCTGAGACCTCCAAGCCCCGCAGTTACGGTGTTGGAATTGACTTCAGTTACCTGCGCACAGGTTACAGTTTTACCCCACCAGAAGTTTCCCCTCCTGCCCTTGAAGTAAGTAAGCTCTGCCTGCTGCCAGTTGCCCCCTGAATGTGGGAGGAGCCCTAGGGGTGGCTCCTGCTACCCCTCCCACCAGTGGGCCACTATCACTCAGACGGCATTCCCAGCCACGGACAGTGGGAGTCCCATTCCAGTGGAAGCAGTTGGGTGAGGTGGAGGGGGGGGAGATGTCTCACACCCGTTACACTTGTGCTTATGCAAGAACAAATTTAGTCTTTCTCTTTGCAATAGCTAACCTCTTTATTTCCATTTGCTATGCATCTTACTGCAGGACCGGAAGTAAAAAAGATTCATGCTGATATGAGCATTTGCCACTAAGGGAACTGGGAATCTAGGGGAAATACCTTCTACACCAAAGGGAAATATCTCCTTGGGTGGTGGCTGGAACAAGCAGATGGGTCTCCGGACACAGCGGGGAAGGGGCTCTCACTGGAGCAGCCTGGTGGGAAGGTTCCTGGGGAGGCTTCGAGTGACTGGGAATGGGCTACGGTGGTCTCAGGGTGGAAGTGATAGGGAATCTCCAAAGCTCCAAATTCTGGCAGGACGCTCTAGTGGGGAGCCAAGGGGAAGTGCCATGGAATCAGCTTCAGGGGAGCGACAGGCCCAAGGGGCCCAGGCATCTACCCCGCTGTGCCCTCAACCAGCACACAGCATCGTCTAGAAATCCTCTGAGCTCCCCCTCCCCATGTTACGTCCCAAAACTTCAAAGTCCTGTAACAGGGCATCGGAACTCCCAGAGTCTCAGGGTACCACGACAGCGTCTGAGCCACCTCCTGAGACAGGTGCCCAGGCTCCCCTCCTCGCTGCTTTCCCCGTGTCCGAACGTGTCTCTGCGGGGATCGGGGCTCTACTCACTTTAAAGGGGTGGAGGCGTCGCAGAGGGCGGTGGGCAGCTCCACCAGACGGTCCCCGCTGACGACCAACAGGGTGAGCTTCTTCAGATTAAGCAGGGCGTAGGGCAGATAGGTCAGCTTGTTCTTGTACAGGAGAAACGTCTGCAGTTCTTCCAGCCTACGGAGCCGGGAAAGGGATGAGCGCAAGGACTTAGCTTCTCAGCGAAGAAAACCAGAGTGAATCACAAATAAACCCCAGCAGGAAACCCCACTTAGTTTACTTTTCATATGTGACCCTTATGAGAAAGATCTAACTTTTAAAATTAAATAAATGAAGTTGTGTCAGCTGATACCACGTTCTGTTTTTTAGTTTTTTACTCAATTGCCAATCGAGGACACAGATCCTGCGGCAGCAATAGCAGAGCGCGCACGCGCAGTAGACCGTTTCGGAGCGTGCAGACACTCCGAACAAAGTGTCTGTGTCCTCCGCACTCTACACCTGAAACCAACACCAAACGATGCAGAATGCAAACTGTCGTCGAAAAGCTTTTTTAAAACATCGGTCTCTCCCACCCCAGCTTGTGTGGCTCAGTTGGCTGCAACCCGAAAGTCTCTGGTTTGATTCCCAGAAGGGCACGTGCCTGAGTGGCAGGTTAGGTCCCCAGTCATGGTGTGTACAGAAGGCAGCCAATCAATGTTTCTCTCTCACATCGGTGTTTCTCTCCCTCTCTCTATCCCTCCCTCCCCCCTCTCTCTAAAACCAAAAATAAAAATTTAAAAAAATAAATATATCCCTCTAAGTGCCTGTCTCATTCCAAGGGTGAACAGGGCATGGGAAAGAAGTCGTACTAGAGTTGCAGTGAAAATAAACTTCAGCCACTGTTTCCTGTTGTATATCTGGACAGCACAGTTATTCCTCTCTCATCCTATTTGCTAACTTTAAAGTAGGAAGAAACCTGCAGAGAAAAAAGGAGATGAGCCAGCTCTGCTCCAAAGGCCTTTTACTCTGTTCAGCTCAGAGACCCCCCCACCCCCACTCCAGTTTTTTCCTTCATTCATTTGCAAAATCTTGAGCGATCCCATAAATATGTCACAAAGCTCCCCTGTGTTTCAAATGAAAACAATTTCCCTCGAGTCTCGCAAACCGAGAAAGCATGGGTACACACATCAGATGTACCAGAAGTAGGGAACAGAGATAGGAGATGGCCTGGAGGATGAGGCCGCTGGCGGCGTCCGCGTCCTGACAGTCCACTTACTTATGCTGCTTTGTGAAGAAGGTCGTGGACTCCAGGAGGCCGGAGATTTTGTTTCCTTGACCACTTTAAACCCGGCTGGCTCATCAGACCTGCCATACAGGGGCCCGATAATATTGGCAGGATGAATGAATGAGTGAATGAATGAATCTTATGTGATTCAGTGTAGTAATTATATTTAAATATGGAGGCTACAAGGACATAATTTGAAACCCTTACTCAGCATACCAATTTCATTTGAAAAATTAGGTATAGTAAATCCACAGATAAAATTAAAAATTATTCTCACTGATATCCTAAACATAGGGTAATATGTTTCTATCCCACATGTAATCATTTTACTTTTCTACTTCTATGGAGTGAAGAAAAGTTAATGATGCCATTCTGCCAGGGACCAAAGGAAATTAAAGTTCACCAAGGCAATGAAGATTTATTCAAATGAACATTAACAGTGGGCAAAACTAGGTTTACAGTGGCCCTGGCTGGCGTAGCTCAGTGGATTGAGCACGGGCCTGTGAACCAAAGGATCGTGGTTCAATTCCCAGTCAGGGCACATGCCTGGGTTGCGAGCCAGTTCCCAGCAGGCGATGCACGAGAGGCAACCATACATTGATGATTCTCTCCCTCTGTCCTTCCCTTCCCCTCTAAAGATAAATACATAAAATCTTTTTAAAAAAGCCTAGGTTTACAGTTGTCCATATGGAATATAATACAATAATTAATAAATGCTAATACAAAAATAAACTGTGTTTTGTGTACTCACAGCTGTAAACCTACTTTTGCTCACCCCTATATATACATGAGGTCTGTCCAGAAAGTATCCAGCCATGTACTATGAAAAAATAGACACATTTATTGAAGAAACAAGATACAAGAAACATGGTCCACAGGACAATGACACCTCAGTCCCCTTCAACACAGGCACCTTGGGACCTCACAAAGTTCTCCCTGTTGCCATCAGCTGCCTAGATGTATTTTCCTGAATCTCACCAATGGTCTGAAATCTCTTCCCTTTCACAGGTGCTTTTAGTTTGGGGAAAAGCCAGAAGTTGCAGGGCACCAAATCTGGGCTGCAGGGGGACTGAATCACCTGAATGACTTGATGGTTTGCCAAAAAACTCTGCACAAGACACAATGTATGAGCAGACATGTTGTCGTGATGAAGCCGCCAATCACCAGTTCACTATAGCTGCAGCCTTCAGAATCATCCGAATAGTTTCCACAGAGGAATGTTTAAGCTTAATGCAAAATTTAATGCAGACTCATTGCTCTACTTGCTCACTCATTTTGAATGTGATGGCCACACAGTACACATGCTCACTCAACAGTGTCTACTGCCCCCACTGACCAGTACAGTGAAGTCGTCATTGTTCACACATGCTCATTCCAGTCCACTCTCCTTGGCTGCCAGGTTACATCGATGTTGAGCAAACCATTCTGGTTATATTAACAATAGCTGGGCTTTTTCTGGCCAGACCTCATCATATACAAGTACATGTATGATGCAGACTAGAAACTGTCTTATTACATAAAGAACCAAACTCATTTCCTGGAAACAAAGGACTCTGGAAAATTCACCGATTTCAAAGAACATTCATATGTCATAAAAGTTGAAAATGTTGCCCTGGCTGGTGTGGCTCAGTGGATTGAGTGCCAGCCTGCAAACCAAAGGGTCACTGTTTCGATTCCCAGTCAGGGCACATGCCTTGGTTGCAGTCCAGGTCCCCAGTTGGGGATGAACAAGAGGCCACCACACAGGGATGTTTCTCTCCCTCTCTCCAACCCTTCCCCTCCCTCCTAAAATAAATAAAATCTTTTAAAAAAAAGTTTAAAATGTTAACAGTGTGTAAGATGTTAGTAACTATTCATATACCTCACCTTCAAAGCGCAAGTAGCTACCTGTCTATGTCTTGCGGCAGGTCGTTCAGGTTATTGTTGCTGATATCCAACCACCGCAGGTTAGACATCCTCAGGACACAGATGGGGACACTGGAAAACTTGTTTGCCGAGATATCTACAAATGTCACTTGCTTCAAATTACTTAACTAGAAAGGAACAACAAAATATTCTAATTGCTTTTGTAAGAGAAAGCATTATGTTCCACTGATAATTTTTCACTTGCTATCCCTTCTCAAAGACATTTTTATGAACATATGCAAAAGAGATCAAACCACATGCATTCTGGAGCACCATGCAACATGCCAGGTGTGCTAAGGTGAACAGCTCACAGTGGCTGCCTGTGAGAAGCTGGTGATGTCATAAACGAGCAACACAATTCTACAGAGTGAATGGGCAAGACAGAATTCTTAGGGGATGCTGGAAATATCCTAAAACTGAATTGGTGAAACGTACATTTATAATGGGTGAGTTTTACGGCATGTAAATTATGTCTCCATAAAGGAGAGGGGAATGGAGAAGGAAGAGAGAGACCAGCCCAGGAGGCTGTGGTCCCAGTGTAAACAGACAACATGGGCTCGGACTAGGGTGCTGGCGGAAAGGCGCTGAGCAGGGTCGGATACGGAACATGTTCTGGAGGGCCTGCCCAACAGGACTGACCGACGAGCGGATATGGGCCACGGGAGCAAGAGGGGTCAGAGATGGCTTGGCTTCTTCCAGCCTGAACACCTGAGAGAAGGTCAAGACATTTCATAAACTGGGGAGAACACGGGGCGCACAGTGTGCAGGGAATTGGGACCCTCGGTGGTGTCCCCTCACCTGGACCACTATTTTTACCTTGGACGAGCTGGACACCGACAGCAGAAGCAGCCACTTCCTCCCACACGGAAGTTTTCAGGAAAGGGGATTAACAGCCCCCCCCCCCCAGGACCACCCTCAGTGGTCCGGCCCTGTCCCACCCTCACCGGGGGAACGCTTCACTAGAGGGCCTCGAGATCCTTCCCTCCTCCCCTCAGCACAAGAAGCTTGTTGACCTTGACTTGGCCATTAAAACTGTTCATGATAATCTCTATTTTATCAGAAAATGACTTAAAATCATTTCTCCAATGAATTTAGACCAAAAGAAACTAATATTTTTAAATTAATAAACACCTTAAATCCTGTCTGGAGGACTACTTTAGTTACCTACAAGTTATGTTGAATACATACATTTTTTTAATTTTCACCCCTTTATTTATTTCCATGTTATGTTGAATACATACATTTTTTAAGATTTTTACCCCTTTATTTATTTTACCAATGCAGATAAATAAATTGGGGTCTGCATTACAGCCAACAGGCATCATATATCCCATTGGTACTAAATAAAAATATCTTGCATGAAAACAGGCCTTTTTTGCCTGGCTTCCCATGGGTGGCATTTCTGGACATAAATTCAGGTTCTAGCCTAGTGTAAAGACATTTTAAAGACTTACAATAACTGAAAGAGGGTGATTGAAATGTCACGAAAATGTGATATAATCAGGATGGACTTTATCTTTATAAGCTTCTTCCTCATGTTATAGGGCATTCCATGTTATAAATCAAATACAAGAAAATCACAGTGCAAATATGTTTACTCTCTTACTTCAAAGGGGAGCTCAGTTAACTCTAGATTTCCAGAACAATCCAGTTTCTCTAGATTTTCACAGTCTCCCAGTTCTGGAGGAATGCTCTCCAGATGGTTGAAGCTCACATTGAGTTCTCTCAGATTCTTCAAACAGCCTGTCACCAGAAGGAAAAAAACAACAACATCACAGGGTAGGTCCTTTAAGGTCTTCTAAGAACAGAAAACAAAAAAAAAAAAAGTAAAACTTTTGTATAAATGATGGGCTAGGCATCAGACAGAATTTGGTTTTGGTTTGATGCTGGGGGAAGCGGTGGCCCCTCAAGCACTCCCACCTCGAACCCACTGTGAGCCTGAGAACCAGGTACTGCAGGTACCGCAGGCAAAGCGGCAAGGCAGAGAAGGGGCTACGATAAAACAAAGACCGCTCCTCTTCTGGGGAGGACTGGGAGCACGTGACCACACTAACGATCTCCAAAACCACGTGAGGGTAACAAGAACAAGTCTGCAGTCCAGAAGAGGGCCCCCTGACCTCAGACTTCTAGCCTCCAGAGCTGGTTCAATTCCTTTCATTTTACAGCAGGCAGTAAGCAAGTCCACTCTTCATCAGTGGGCAGCACCTAATCCCAGCCTGGGTGTGAAGGTGGTCAGGGCCTCGTCATCTTGGCACAAGAGGCAGAGGCCGGGCAAGCCGCCCTCTGTCTCACACCACCCCTGGCGAGTTTCCAAATGAGGGGGGCAGCCACTGGTTCTAGGGCACGTGTTGCAGGATGGAGCTCTGCACAGCCCCCCGACCCTCACCCCACACCCCCAGAAAAAGAGAAGCAGTAATGACCACTTGAGGTCTTCAACAACAAAATGACTGAGAAGAATAAAGTGTTGATCAAAATGACATAATAAGCTAGTCTAAACTTATCAATGGACTAGTTTATGGGAATGATGTGTTGTGTTTTATGGTTATGATAAATGTCTCATGGCAGGTTTGTATTTCTACAACTGAAAGAAATAAAAAGCTCCTAAACATGGTGTTGCTCACTCGAGAGACCTCCAGTATCTGAGCATTTGGCAAATGTCTGTCTGTGCCATTACCCAGGTGAGAGCGTGGCACCACCACCCAGAGGGGGCCACTGGGGACAAGAAGCTCTGGGAACACAGGCAACGGCCCTGGGCCACAACTTCCCCAGGGCAGGAGACTGCAGGGCTCCGTTCTCACAGCACCACCACCCGTCCACCAGCTGCCTGCTGCCAGAGGCCCGAGGCTCTGCTAAGAGACATACCGATTTCAGCCGGAAGATGGGAGATTTGGTTTTTTTGCAGATCCAGAACTCTCATCGCTTGGAACAGCTCGATGTAGGCAGGAATGATTTGAATCAGGGTATTGTTTATGTGCCATTCTTTCAGGTGCGTCTGCTCCCTCAGCGAATCTGGGAGCTCCTGGAACAGAGGAAGGACAGCGATCGGCCCTAGGTCCTCAGCGCAGCGGCACTGAGTGGTGGTGTGCGCAAAGCCAAGGAATGCCTGCACTTACTTTAAAAGCCAGAAGTGAGAGAACATGTGTGGGAGCATTAGATGTAACCGCCAGCCGGCTCTCTGGCCATTTCAGAAAGAAAGCAGAGAGACTGCAGTTGTCCTTAATCTCACAATAAGAGATTAGCCCAAGCTCAAAGCTGCCCTGAATTCATGAGATTATTCGAAGCAGATGCCTGGTGAACACTGATAATCCAGCTCACACCCACGCCAGCCACCACATGTCTTATTTATTTATAATACACCAATACCACACCTTAAAAAAATAAAATCTGTCCTTACATTCGATTGTTAAATTCAGGTGACACTTCTCTTCCTTTGTAGTTGTTTTTAAAAATGCTTGATAAACATCTAATACTTGCTGGGCCAAAGTTCTACATATTTGTACAAGTCTACAGGAAGGGGAAAAGCGCCAGAAAGACAGGATTCCAGGCTCCGTAGTTGTCCAGGTAGGCCACCTCCCTGGGCCTTCGCCTCTGAAGTGACAGAGAGGAACACGCCAGGGGCTCCAAAGCACCACCCACCCCGCTGGTGTCCTGGGTAAAACTGGACGGTGCTGAGATGCACTTACAGACCTGAGGGTGGCATTTGTCCAGGTGAAGACACCCGGTTCACTGAGTCTTACCCCTGCAGACAGGTGAGCTCAGCATGAGGGGATGGAACAAAGACGAGGACAGCACACATGTCCCCAGACTACACGGCACCATCAACACACTGGCAGGTGCGCAGGGGAGGTAGGGCAAGGCCAGAGGGGCGGAGGTGGCAGGAAGCCCACGTGACCCCTTTGCTTGGCGCTCAGTACTTGTAACGTGCTTTGTGATCATGGCTATTTGATCCGCAGTTAAGCTTTTAACTTACACAATTATTTTCACACTAAATATGGTTTCCCGTTCATCCCATAAGATAGGTAGAGTGAGCACTATTCAGGCTCACTCAAAGAGGAGAACCGAAACCCACACACATTTAAATGAGTCCCTAAGGGTAACGACCAGCTACGTAGTTTCAGGAACTAGTGTAAAAGGAAAATGTAGGCACCTTGTTAAAAACTGTTAAGAATTTTCAAGCCCCAACTGGTGTGGCTCAGTTGTTTGGGTGTCACCCCACAAAGTGAGAGGTCACTAGTTCGTCTCCGGTCAGGGCACGTGCCTGGGTTGCTGGTTCAGTCCCCTGTAGGGCACGTAGAAGAGGCAACCAATTGGTTTCTCTCTCCCTCCCTTCCCCACTCTCTAAAAATAAATAAATACAGTCTTGAAGAAAAAAACAAAAAACTGGATTTTTAAGACAGTGACAGCAGAGCATTCAACCCAGCACAGCTCCCAGCCCTGGACAAACCACCCGGGCTCCTTCTGATCTGAACCCCACCCCCTGCGGCTGAGCCAAAGCCCAGAGCCCACTCACTGGGGCACCATCCCCAGGGTCATCAGGGATGAAGGACAGGTCCCAGAGAACACTGTCCCTGCGAAAGGAACAACAGGCCAAATTCACTCGCCCAGGCGTGGCTCGCCCACACCAAGTGCGGCTCCAACCAGGAGACAGCAGGTCATGGGTCATGGGCGTGTGCCTCTCTAAGCAAAGCAGCAGGTGGCGGGGAATGAAAGCAAGAAGCACCTGTAAGCACCTGTAAACCCCCGAGGAAAGAAAGAAAGGAGACCTGTTTGTCCTGGCCCCAGAATCTCGGAGGAAAATCGGCTCAGGGTAAGCAAAGTCACCACCCACTGCAGAATGTTAGAGGGTGAAAGGCTCCATTGGTTTGAAAATTTCTAAAGGCAAGAGTCATTTTAAGGGAGGAGGGAACAAGCAGCAGCTCTGAGCATTTTAAAGGCTATGCCGTCCTGGGCAGAGCCTGGGGTCCGGGCCACTCCCAGCGTGGAAGGGATCCAAGTAGAACCCCCGCTGCTCTCTGCAGGAGGACACTGTCTTTGTGGAAGAGGACACATGAGAACCTGGTTCAAAGCAGATCCTCCCAGGCTAGAGCGCTCCGCTGGCCAAGGCCAAGGCCAAGGCCAAGGCCTGGAGCTCCCAGTGGACATCAGTGCAGCGCCGCACTGAGCCTCTGCTGGCTGGGAACACCCCGACTCACCTTCCAGTGCTCCCCCGAGAGTTCAAACACAAATGGGCTTTTCCTTTTGTCTCCCGCCTTGGAAGGGGAACTCCGGCTCAGGAGAGAGTTCCTTTCGATCTTTTCCAGAAGCCTCACGCCGGTGTCTACGAAGCCATTCCTGCAGTACTCAGCCTGGGGGATGCCTTTCCTCCGGCACTCGGCCACGAAGTTCCACTCCTCCTTTATCCTAAAACACCCCGCAGAGGCCGCAGTCAGCCTCCAGGGCCACGGCCGCACCTGCCCGGAGCAGGCTACCGGGGCGCACGCGCAGGCGCAGTCCTCCCCGCCACTCCCGGCACCCCGCACCCGCTTCTCAGTTTCTCCTGACCCCCCTTTCCTCGTTCCCTCCACTGCGGTGGGGAATATAGAGGAAACGTAAAATCTCAGAGTTGTGAATTACTAGCAACTTTGACTTTTAAAAGTTAGAGTTGAGTTAGCTGGAATTCCTGGCTAACATTTCTGCCAAAATTACCTACGCAGTTGATTAATTAGGATTTCCTTGGATAGCACATGTGGTGCCAACCCAAGTTTTTAAATATGAAAAGCCGCAGGAATGTGCTGATCTTTCAAGAGCACTTGGATAGAAACAAACAGGCAGTCCCAGTTTATAAAATACCTGCCACGAGAATGTCGCCCGTCAGCCACCTTGGGAAACCTTGCTCCTGCGGGTGGGCCTGTGGTCCTTCATAACTGGAGCCGGCTCAGGACTCTTCAGCGCCCCAGCCCCGCTCCCTGCCCCCCACTGCCCATCAGCACCTTCTTAGTCATTGTCTGACCTATAACTTTCCAGTTTATTCCCCCAACTGGATCATAAACTCCATGGTGCTGCGACCCACAGCCTGCTGCCCTCTGGGTGCCCCACAATGGCTAGAATAGTGTTCTGCCTGCAGCGGGCCGTTCCCCACTTAGGAATTTGGTGTCTGCTCCCCGGCTTTGTCAGGCTAATAGTCTGAGGTACAAAAACAGAATGTGTTGTCCTGGCTGGTGTGGCTCAGTAGACTGAGTGCCGGCCTGCGAACCAGGGGGTCGCTGGTTCAGTTCCCAGTCAGGGCACATGCCTGGGTTGTGGGCAGGTCCCCCCTAGGAGGTGCGCAGGAGGCAGCCATACACAGACGCTTCTCTCCTTCCCTTCCCTCTGTCTAAAAGTAAATAAATAAAACATTTTTGAAAAAATAAAATGTGTCATAGTTTTCCTTCAAAGCCATCAGACAGACACTGTCCCCAAACAGGCAGCCCCCTTTGATGACAGGAACTTGGTGTGTTTCACTATCAGGAAAGCACCCGGACCCTACTCAGGGGCTCAGTGGCCGTCAGGATGGAGGACTTCTAGAAGGGGCAATTCTAGAAACAGACTGCAGGTACAGGTCCCATCCCTGCATGGCCAGGCGCAGTACAGGTGCTAAGTGGCAAGAGAAAAGAGGTTCCAGCCGTCTGTGATGACGGCGTTATGCAGGGGAAAGGGCATGGGCAAGTTACTTAGGTCCTCACAACCTTGTATTGTCTTCAGACTTGGGATAATGACAACCACCTGGAATGGCCTCGATGCCTACTTACAGTAGCCACTTAGTCATCGAGTGTGAGCAGATTAGGTATTTGCTCGATCCATGCAGCTCATAAAAGTGGAGGACCAGGAATTGACAGTCCCACCTGACACATTTTGTTTTAACCTAAAGCACAGAAATGCATCCCACTTTGCCAGCTTGACACAGGGCCATGGACTTCCCTCCCAAACAGGTGTGCCCATCAGCGCCCCATTCTGCCTTTCCTGGATTAACCACACCCACCATGCCTCACCCGAGAGCCCCAGTTTGGGTCTCTTCATAGGCGATAAACATTACAAACAGGCAAACCCACCTGGGTGTGCGGCTTTCCCAGCTTGTCCTATTTTCATCCATCTTGTACGGTGTTAATTCAATTGTGTGGCTCATATTTACCACAAATGTAGCTTTTCCAAAAATGCTCAATTTAATTTTCATTAACAGAACAACTCACCTTTATGAATTTGCATAACAGTAGTGAGCTTACAAATTAAATGGCATCAACAAAGGAATCTTATCCTGGGTGAGGGCTGACGTGCGTGACAGGGAGCAGCCACCAGGCTCACGGCTCACCCGGTGCAGAGTGTCAGACTTAACGATTGTGTCATCACTGTCCTCCCTGTGCTGGTGCCTGGGCTGTATGTGGGTCCTTAGGGCTACGGGTGGTAGTTGGTAGGAATCGAGTGTCCCTTCGGGGCAACAGCGTGAAGGTGCTGATGTCCGATAAGCAGGTGTCACCGACAGTGAGAAAGCCCAGGAGAAAGGCACCCCCCTCCACCATGCAACGGTGTCCTGCCCGGGCCCCATTCACTAAAGCAGCTACCAGCACGTACAGAAAACTTACTTTTCCAAAGCACTTTTCTCAAGTCTTTCTTCCTCCTTTTTCTGCAGAGCTCTGTGCTTCTTGACACGTGTCTCCCACAAGGCTCTGACGACAGAAATGTCGAATACGACCACTTTATGTCCCATTCTGGGAGCATGAAGTTACCTGTTTAAAAATATAATAGATGTCAGCTTCACCCACACACACAGAAGAAAATAGTTTTACCGTGAACTGTAAAGTGAGAGGTGAATGAACCAATGATCTCAAGTTACAATGAAATAAATGCCTTGTTAGTTCAGGGTGGCAGGTTGCCCACGTTCTTCGGGCCCGAGAGTACTCTGCATGAAAGCCAAAGGGCAACAACACCCACCCTGGGGTCATCTCCTCTAGGATGACACGCTGGTCTCAACTGAATCGTGGGTTCCAAACTCCCCTTGGCAGTCCTCAAGCTCCATGGTCCCATGTCCTACTGAATTTAGTAGCACCTAATCTTCCCAGTAGGTTCCGACATACTGAAGGGCAAGTTTGATGAGTTCATCAGAAAACACACACACACACACACACACACACACACATACACACACACACACCCCTGGCTGGCTCAGGCTACACACTGGCCACCAGCAAGTAACACAAGCAAACACTCCACAGAGCCCAGCTGAGTACTTTCCCACCTGGGTCTGGCCACACAGCCTGGGGACATGTCCTGTGAGGTTCCTCTGCAACATGACCCTCACAAGCTGCTGGCCTCTGTTTATGCATTTTCCAAGTGCAAGGAAAGCCGGACTCAGGCACGTCTTAGCTATCACATCTTAGTGAGACATAGCACAGTGCCTGGCACATAGTAGGTGCTCCATAAATGTCTGTTGAATGACCATGTGAGTGAGCGAATGAATGAGTAGTGAATAAAAGATTTGCGTCCAGAACGCTTCATTCTCTGGCCACCCAGTGAGCTTTCTCTCCTCTTTTTTGTTTCAAAAATCATCTTTACTGCTTAAGTGATTATTTGTACACTGCAAAAAAATTTTTTTCAGGACATAAAAGTGCATTTCACATTTCACAATTTATTCCACTAAGTTATAGTTATCTCCCTTATCAAAGTAAAATAACTTTCTAAGGATTGTTTTAAACTTCCCCGATCTACAGCATTGAAATCCAGCTAAATCCATTTCCTGACTCGTACAAACACAGAGTGTTGGTTGACAAATAGCAGGGCCGTTGAATATTCTCTGCTCCAACTCCAGGCACTTCTAAATAGCAGTCAGTGGGGGTGCAAACCCAAAGGTTTAATCTTCTGACTCAAGTGTGTCCTCTCCATTAAAGCCAATGTGGTGGGGAAACGGACTTACGTTTGTGCAGCCGAGCATTGGCACTCCGTCACGTCAGTGTACAGAGCTGAAATGCGACCCTAAGATTCCCCTCTTTCCTTTAATTTCTGACATCTGGGACTGTCTTTTGTCCCCCTTAAAACCTTTTTACCTGAAGGAGAGTTCTAAAAAGGATCAAGTGATGCAAGTTTCTGCGTGGACATCGTGTGTTCGATTCTCTTGTGCAAATAAATACCCTACACAGGAGTGAAATTGGAAGGTCATATGATAATTCTAAGTCTCGCCTTTTCGGAAACTGCCAGACTGTTTCCCAAAGCGGTTGCATCATTTTACATTTCCGCCAACAGTGTGTGAAGTTTCCAGTCCTCCACATTTTCTCAGCACGTGTTATTTTTTTATTATTATTACTATAGCCATCCCTGCAGGTGTGAAGTGGTACCTCATTGTGGCTTTGATTTGCATTTCCCTGACGACTAATGATGCCAGAGCATCTTCTCCTGTGCTTTTGGGCCATCTATGTATCTTCTTGGGAGAAGTGTCTATTCAGATCCTTTGTTATTTTTAATTGGGCCACTTGTCTTTTTCTTATTGACTAGAATAGTGCTGTATATATTCTAAATACAGGTCCTTTACCAGATATATGATTTGTAAAAATTTTGTGACTTAATTGTCTTTTCACTTACTTGATTCCACCCTTTTACTTTTAACCTAAATAAATGGTTATATTTGATGTGGGGTTTTGCAGACAGCACCTTGCTGGATCACTCATTTAACCCAGTCTAACACGGTCTTTTAATCGGTGTGTTTAGACAATTTACACTTAATAATTACTGATAGGTTTACAAATAAAACTACCATTTAGGTCTCAATTAATTATTTGCTTTCTCTTTGATCCATGTTTTGTTTTCCTCTTTTCCTTTCCTGCCTTGTTTCTGTTTTCGGAATTTTTTTAGTATTCCGTTTGATTTTTTCTGTTGTGCTCTTCCCTGTATTTTCTGGTGTAGTATTTTCTTCGTCATGGTTGCCCTAGGGAATGTAAGATACCTGCTAAGCTCCTCATAGTCCACTCAGAAACAATACTTTACCGCTGCCAGTGACAGGTGGAAGCCTTCCTGCTATTCAGGGCCCCTAGGCCCCCACCTCCGTGTGCCAGCTGCGCTACGTACCTGTTCTATCTGTGGGTGTTACAGGACCGGCTTCCCATCATCAAACTTACTTTACACGAGTCGTGGGGAGGAAGCCAGCCCCACCGCTCCCCACGGACCACACCCACTGCTCATCCTTCGTCCCCATTGTCCCAGGTTCCCCTCGGCTTTCATTTCCTTCTGCATAAAACGACTTCTCTTACCGATTCTTTCAGAAGTCTGCTGGGAACTCTGTTTTCCTTCATCTGAGGACATCTTTGTATGAAGAGGATGTCTCCATTCCTGAAGAACATTTTCGCGCAATACTGAATCCTGAGTTGACGATTCTTTTCTTCGAGCACTTGAAGAATAAGGTACCTGTTTCTTTCAGGCCCCATGGTTTTCAGCGAGAAATCTGCTTTTCCTTAAGTCGTAACTCTCCCGTGGGCAGTGCATCGTTTTTCTCTCCATACTTGCAAGATTTTTTTCTTTGAGTTTTCCTTAGTTTAATTATGATGAATCTGGGCATGGATTTCTTTGCACATGGATTTCTTTGCACATGGATTTTTGGGCACATGTCAGGTATATCCTGACAGAGATTTGCCTAGTTCCTCCAATCAGTAGATTTGACCTTTTTGCCAAAATTGAGGATGTTCAACCATTACTTCTTCAACTATTTTTTCTGCGCTGTACTCTTCCACCCCTCTTTCTGGGACGCTGATAACACAAACATTGGGTCTTTTGGTGTTTTTCCATAGATTCTTGAGGCCCTATTTACTTTTAGTAAATCTCTGTTCCTCTTTCTTTTTCAGATTGGTAATACACAGCAATCTATCTTCAACTTTCATATTCTTTCCAATGTTATCTCCATTATGTTTTGTAAGCCTATCCAGGGAATATTTTATTTCAATTATTGTTTATTTCATTTGGTTCTTTTTTTAAAAGATTTTATTTATTTATCTTTAGAGGGGGAGGGAAGGAGGGAGAGAAATATCAATGTATGGTTGCCTCTCGTGCGTCCCCTGCTGGGAACTGGCCTGCAACCCAGGCATGTGCCCTGGACCGGGAATCAAACCGTGATCTTTTGGTTTGCAGCCCTGTGCTCAATCCACTGAGCCACACCAGCCAGGGCTCATTTGGTTCTTTATATCTCCTATTTCTTTGCTGATACTTTCTGTCTTTCTATTCCTTCTCCAGAGCAGGTGGAGAGCACCCAAGGAAAGGGTTCAGACCTCACTGAAGAAGTTGTGGTTCTCTCCACCAGACAGCAGAGGAATCCTGGTTTGGTCAGGCGGCTTTGGCTTTGCTGGGAGAGTAATAGGCCACCATGCCCCACCCCCCCAACCCCAGAGTGCAGGTGGGAGCCCAACTGACCAGCAACTGCATTGTGGGAAGGCAGGGGGAGCCCGGGGACAGGCAGAGCAGGAGGCTTTCACAACGCGAGCCACACAGGGCCTGGCAGATGATTGGCAGCTTGGTCTGTGACCCACCAGACCACAGGGAGCTGTGTGCAGGCCCTGTGGATGCAGACCAAGCCCAGGTACGAGACTGGACAAGAGGACTTCCAGGCATGTGAGCTACACGGGGCTCTGTTTCCTGGGTTGAAAGGGCTGCAGAAAGGTCACTGCCAGCCAAGGCAGCCAGGTTGCAAAGGGACCACGTCTGGGCCTGTGTCTGAGATGGACTCCCATAGGTGGCCCACACTGCTGAGGCCCAGCCCCCACTCCAAGGAGGCAGGAAGCCTCTTCCTACCACGCTGTCCTCTACTCAGAAATTTTAAAGGACAAATGCTTGAAGGATTCCATTGTATCTCACGGAGCACATGCACTGAAGACGCATTCAGAGCCAGGAGGCAGCACCTTGGTAACCGCTGCAGCAGGTAACCGCTTCAGTCGGGTTCAGCCCTCCCACCCCAGCCTGCCTCCTGTGGGGTGTGATCGCCCCCGTCAGAGGAGTCTTCACTGGGCCGTGCTATTCAGCTGGTCCACTGGCTGAATACATGATCTCCCTGGTCCTTCCCAATGCCTGGGGCTCCCTTTTCCAGTCCTCCAGCCTGAGACCTGGGGCTTCAGTTACCCTGCTTTGCTACACACTTTCTATAAATGTACCCTCATCCTAGCCGAGCAGTGGGAGGGCTGTGGGAGGAGGAAAGCAGAGAGAGTGTTCTCCACCCTCTGAGGACACACAGCTCCCCTAGTCGGAAAGGAAGGGTCCCCTCCCTCAAAGCTTTGGGTGCCTGAGATCTTCCATTCCCACCTTCTCCCACCCCCACAAAGCCCCCCAGAATCTTAGTGGGGCTGAGGCAGGAGAGGATGGAGAAGCAAAAATGAAAAAAAAAAAACAGAAAAAAAGCAATAAGGATTTATCCCTCTCTTAGCATTTGCCATCCTGGAGCCAAACTAGAGGTCTACGTATCCCGCTCCGGGTCCCAGGCTGCCACGGGTACTACGATGATTTGAATCCTGGAGTCCTCCCCCATCCTCCTGCAACCGTCCCCTTTCAGAGTCCTCCTCCTGCCGCCCCGCATACTCTATCCAGGCTTTACACCTGCAGTGCACGGGAGAGGCAGGGCGGAGTGCGCATCTCCTCTTACCCAGAGCCAGACACTGCAGCCTTTCATTTTCCTCTTACCACTCCCCTTGCGCTGCTGTCTTCAGCTCAGAAATGTCTAAGCTGCAAAGGTCTTAATAAGGCACTGACATAAAAGCCAGCC